TCTGTTACCGGTGCGAGAGGAACAGCTCTACAGTTGTGTTCCTCTGTTTGCCCGGTGGATTTTGCATTTAATATCAGTGTCTTCTGTGCGTTTGTGTGAGCAGGAGAATTAGATTTGTCACATACCCTAATCAGAAAAGTTGCGGGTGTAGTCTCAAAAAGCGAACACTAGCAAACATTTGCATGTTCTTACCAAGAGGCTTGAACGAGCACGTCTTAATACTTCGTCGCGGTGTGCTTTTTAAAATCTGAAGAAGTGATCAGTTTCTCACCGTCTCCTTCAATAAACACGCGCACCGAGGGACGTGTAAAGATTTGACCCGTCAGCCGAGCCACGTGTTCAAAAAGCCTCGAATCTGAAACTTTACGACCAACAAGACACAAAGCACACTCGTCAACGTGAAAAAGAACCAGGGTGTTTTTTAAGGGGCGCTACGTACGAGGTTGTCGCGGGTAGTAAATAACACAGCCGAGAAGCAACACTGGAAAGTCCACCGTCTCAAACCTGCAGACCGCGGCAATATCGGAAACATATTTTTTATTTTCACACGACAGAAGTGAACACATATCGGAGACCTTTAAGAACCTGTCATGACCCGCGTGCTCGTGTCGCAGCGCAGACGGCCGACCAGCGCGGTGACGTCACCGCCCTTCCCTGGGCATGATGGGAGATTTCTCTTCGGCTCTTTTTTCCCTTTTTTGTTATTTTTTTATTAAACGTAAAGAATTTACAACTACAACCAGAGGATCAGAAACAGGTACAAGAGAAAAAATCATTTAACTACCAGAGGTCATGAAGTAAATTATGTGATAAAATTGTATTGTGTACATATATCATGTTTTCCTTGCTTTATTATTTCTGTTTTTTTTTAATAGAATTTAAATAGTGTTTCAACATGCATGCGTTTCCTGTATGAAATAAAAATCAGCCCTCACTTTTTTACAAAACAAAAAAACGCTTTTCTTTTTACAACATTTTGAGTACCTCTGGCATTAATAGAGAAAATAGAAAAAGACACAAAAGCAGATCACTAACTCTAAGATTGTCTAAATTATTGAGTTTTTCAAGAACCAGAACTATAGCAGTCCTTAATACATAACTGCACCATTCCAAACTAACACGAAATAAACACTAGTATATACTGCTATAACAAATAAAACCAAACATAATCATTAACTGAGCAGTCACTGGGAGCGGGTCTCCTTCCCCTCCACAGAGGCCCTCACTCCCACAAAGCAGGCTCTCCTCCCCTTTCTGGCAGCTTCAGCCTGGGGCCACAGCTGGCTCCTGGTGCTCCTGTCCACGGCGGACAGGTCCTCTGCAAACCTCAGTTTGTTCTCATTCAAATACTCATTCCCTCTCGCCCCTCGCCACAGCGTGTCCCTCGCCGTCCTCTTGGTGAACTGTATTATAATCGTTCTGGGGCGCACTTGCCCAGACATGTTCGCTCTCCCGAGCCTGTGAACAGAGTCAATGTCCTCATCACGTTCCTCCTTAACTCCGAGTCATTTTAAACTCCATCGTCGACGGTATCTGTCTGCATTGTTCACTTCCAATTCAAGTTCTTTAATATGCTTTTCTTGTTCGGTATTTACTTGTTTAAGAACTTTTGCTTCACTCTTTAAGTCCTCACCCTCTTTAAACACACAGTCCATGGACTTTTTTAGACCTTGGATTCCGACTGTGTTAAATGGAATCGTGTCCTGCAGCTCAGCCAGGCCCTGTGCCATCATGTTGAAGATGTTGGTCTGGAGCTCCTCCAGCGTCAGCTCGCCCCTTCCTCTCCTGGCCGCTGGGGTTTTCACAGGTGGCTGGGCAGGGACTCCGGCTCTTCCTCCGGCAGCTGAGTCTCGCTCGGGTACGAGTGCATCTCCAGCACTCTTCCACGTCCCCTGCAGCTGCTTCACTTTCCTCTTTCGTTGCCATCGATGTTCTTGGAGTGCCATACATATACGATTGAGGTATCTTAGACTTCTCCTTCGAAGACCCAGCACCCTCCTTTCTTTTCCCAGTGCTACTCATATCGAAATTCTTAAATATAAAAAAGCTTATTTTTTTCAATTATAACTGGAGTTTAAACAACTAGTGTTAAACCCCTATTTTCTGTAGTAAAAAAAAAACCCAAAATAATAAAATTCAGGTCATGAAAAACTAAAAAAAAAAACTCCTCAACCTCTAAACTTTACCTCCCAACTGAACGCCATCTTGAACGCTCCCCGATTTCCCTTTGGCTCAGCGGGCTGGGTCCCTGGTGAGTGACGCCGGAGGCCCGGGTTCGAGTCCCCAGCGGTGGGGGGCCGCGGTGGGCGCTTACCCTCGTGAACCCGAGAGTGACACAGTATTTACAGGGGTCTCGTGCGCAAACATGAAGCGATGAGCTCACAGTCCTTGTATCTTTGTGTTTCCGGCCAGTCTTGGTGCGGAATACAGCGTGAGGGCACACCTGCCCGCTGGAGACACAGGTGTGGGCGCCTGTGTTAGATCCTCAGGTGGAGTCGAGTCTTCTGTAATCTGCGATGTACTGACCCGGATACGTCTGCTTGTCCTGCTCCATGAAGTTGCCCACCCGCCCGTCGAACAGCACAAACGACGAAACTCACCGCAATCGTTTGTGCTGCGTTTGTGCCGGCTTGTGTCGCTGTAAGTAGCGTTTGTGCTGCTTTCATTTCCGAGATATAGCGCCTTGGTTTTTCGGATAATCACATGACTATCTACATGGTTTACGGGTACCAAAAAACTCGGTAATTGAACTCCTGATTGTGATGAAAACAATGTGGGCAATTTGTTTTCCGAGTCTGGTCGGGTGGGGTGAATGTTTCAATATAGCGCCTTCTTTTCCTGGCTGTGACGTCACTCTGTGACGTACAAAACAGCACAGTCACGACCACCAGATCTTTCAGTTGTGATCTTTTGATCAGTCGACTTTGCATCCTTTACGTGAATAAACAGTCTCACATTTAGGGAGGAGTTACTATGTTAGTTCAGTGGGTTAGGTGTTTTCTTTTAATTTTTAACCATGTTCTCGAAAATGTATTGCTTGTGTACTCCTTTCATTGGTGAAGAGACACCAGTTTTCCAAATTACAGCTGGTACAACACGAGAGCCCATATTCACATTTTTAGGTATTAATTTCAAGATCGATATAATTTAACAATAAAAAACAAAATTGAAAGCACGAGCATAATAATATAATGATCATAGACTTTATATTTCTATTCCTTTTTTAAAGTACAAAGTAGAAGGTATTTCCCCTACCTTAAATATACGATTGTAATTGTTCAAATACCATCTATTCATTACAGAAAGCACCGGAGACAGTTATCCTGCACATAAAAATGTATTTATTTCGAAGAGTACGGGACATTGTGAATCAATAAAGACGTTAGAATAAAAAAAGCCGATGTTGTTATTTTGCAAATAAGTGAAGCATTTTAAAACTAGATTCTCATTGACAGTGAACAAGCCGATCGCGCTGCTGGCTTGAACAGCTCTCAGACCCGTGATTGGCTAAACCCCCGAACAGCTCGGGCTGCGATTGGGTGATGAGAATCGATACTCTGATTGGGTAAAGCGCCACAGCGGAAGTTCCGAGAGCATGTAGGCACACAGGTGACGGATGTTCTTCTTGGTCCAAACACTGTAGCCCCGGTTAACCGTGTGTGCTGTATGAGCACGCTTGATCTACAGTAACACATCCATTGGTTTCCAGCTACTGATCAATCTAAGAGAAGTCGCACTGAGGTCAAAACTGAAGAGCAGACAAAGAATGTCATGGCATCCACAGCGCGTTCACGACTCCGATTGCATGTCACGATAGGAGTGCGCGCATCACGATCACATCGCGATACTCATTGCGACTGGCGCATCACAGTCATGGCGCCACTGTCGCGACATTAAGTCCATATATCGCGGTATGACATATCCCGACAAAACGCCCCCGCCACCATGTCGCGACATGGAGCCCGCATATCGCGATGTGGCGTACCCCTGTCAAAACGGCCACTCCTCTGTCGCGACTTGGAGCCCGTATATCGCGATATGACATACCCTGACAGGATATGCTGACCCTATGTTGCGACACAAAGTCCATATATCGCGACACGTCCTATCTAGGTATATTATGTCCTGATATGAGACCTTTGTTGCAACTGCGGTGCCAGGGTGGCATGGAAGCAAGGCGCCAGTCATGATATACACTGCCGCGATATACATGCGATATACGTGGGGTCCCTATCATGACATGCTGCGGAGGGCTTGTCGCGATGGTATCCCACAGTTACGCGTTTGGCAGCAGCGTGTCACGGTAGGGAAAGAAAAAGGAAAACGTGCCTTAGAAAATAAAAACCACAGATCTTACAATCACGGTGCTTTTATGTTCTTTACAACTACAGGTTTATGTCACAGATGGTTAACTTGTTGGCATGCGTCATGTCTTAGTATTATTCACATCTAAGGAGGCTCATATGTTTATGGATATTGATTGTCTTTAAAATGTTAACTATTTAGAGACTGACGTTTTACAATCCAGTAAACTGTGCGCATTGCTATAAAATCCAAAGCAAAAAGTTTTCTTACAATGCTTATTAAGGTCTACCGTCACCAAACACAGTATGTTAAAGAAGTAAAGAATTAAGTATAAAATTGCACCATCTGGTGTGTTACACTGTTCAAAGAAACGTACTGGATTAAAGCTCTGTATTGTTCCCCGACCATGAAGGTGTGAAATTGCAAAGGCTGAGGTCAACTGATGAAAAGATCACAACTGAAAGATCTGGTGGTCGTGACTTTGCTGTTTTTGTATGTCACAGTGACGTCCCACCCAGAAAAAGAAGGCGCTATATTGAAACATCCAACAGACTGCCCCCTTTGTCTTCATCACGATCAGGAGCTCAAGTATCGAGCGTGTTGGTACCTGTAACCCTGGTTGTAGATAGTCACGTGATTACCCGAAAAAGCAAGGCGCTATATCTCGGAAACGAAAGCAGCACAAACGCTACTTTCAGCGTCACAGACCAATGAGGGGGGTTTCACCGTCCGTGCTGTTCGTACGGGGGCAGCTTCACGGAGCCGAGTGTGTCCCACTGTCCCGAGTGGGAGCGCGGATCGCTCTCTCTCCCGTCTCTCCCACAGGCGGAGCGGCGGCCAGCGGGCGGGGCCGCGGGAGAGGGGGGTCGGGTCGCTCCTGTGTGCGCCGGCCCGGCAGCCGGAGCCCCGTTATCTCATTGATATTCCGCCCGGGTGGGGGAGAGGGGGAGCGGCGAGGGACATTGTCTGGGAGAGAGAGGGAGGAGGGGACGGCTGAGCTCCGAGGCGCTGGGACTCCGAGAGGAAGCCGTATCGCCGCCTGGAGAAAGGAGTCGGGAGACTGGAGACCGGGCTCGGCGCTGTGTGGTTTCGGATGATGGGCAGGGAAACGGTAAGAAATCCGGGGGCATCGGCGAGCAGGCGGGGAGACCAGACCGCCGGAGGCGCAACAGGTGGCGACGCGGCTCCGGAGGGTCCCGGGGTCGCGGGGGGAGACGGCGTGGCTGCAGTCCGGGAAAATATCGTCGTTTCTTGTTGTTGTCGCGGTCAACCGCGCCGGCCCCGGAGTTGCGAGAGATTCAGGGGGAAAAACCTGGAAATGGTGCTTTTTCAGCCGGCGGGACGGCCTGCGCGCTGGCGGAGAGACCCCTGAGGGGATCCGGGTTCGCGGCCGCCAGTCTCACTCGCTCCCCCCGACCGGGCAGACCGAGAGGCCGGTAAGATGATACACGACCCGGACTGGGGCTCCGGGACTCTGTAACGGACCTTCGTGAGCACCTCGCTTTCTTCTTTTAATCTTTTTTTTTAATTTAAACACCCCAAATACAAAAAAATGAGACTGAATATTAAAATAGATACAGAAATAGACACTTCACAACCAGAGGAATTCACAATAAAAGCTGAAAATGATACTTTTTACATATCGCCATTGTAGGTCTTGACTTTTGATTCTCTAAATTTCTAATAGGATTTAAATAAAAAGGGAATTCTACCTTAAAAGTGCGAATAGAGGGAGCAGTATTAGATCATTTACTTTAGTGGATGAAGTATTTCACCAAAATAATGAACAGATTAATAATACAAAACACATCCTTTATCCAAATCAGAACTTTCTCTCCGCAGACCAACACAGCAGCACGAAACAGGAGGACCTCGCCGTGTCCTGTGCCCCTGACGCGCTACACGCACGCTGCTGGAGGAGATCACAGCAGAGACACGGGTTCGGGTACGTTCGCGCACACGCCGTGTTGGATCAGACCCAGTCGCATCCTGCGTTGGCAAACAAAACCGTTTTCTCTTCCCCGACTGTTGACACTGCAGTGTGTGGAGGCACAGTCCTGCGCCCTGTTCTCCTCAGACCTTCCCTGCTCTCGGAGGAGATGGTTGAGTCCGATGCTGAACGGGCCAGCTCCCTGCTCCCCCGACTGACCCTCCTGCTCCAGCCCTGCAGGGGGCGCCCTGTTTGACAGGGGTCCAGCGGTCAGGAGGAGGTGAGGGGCCACAGGGGGCCGGCCCGAACCGGAGTCCAGTCAGACCGGCGGGCGTCTCACTGCTCTCCGTGCTCTCCCTGCAGGTTTGGGGTGACAGGAACTCGGGGTCCCTGCGGAAGTCAGGCAGCCATGTCTCGCTCGGACGAGGTGAACAAGATGACGGAAAATGTTTACAAGGTGAGAGGAGCCCACGAGGACTCAAGAACACGAGAGGAACAGGACTCTGCTTCTGCTGTGATCATTCACTCCTTTCCCTGCTCTCTCCTCACTTTTCCATGAATATCGTCCTTACTGTCCTGTGACTGGGCCGTGTCAGTGTCCACAGGGACTAGAAGAGTCTAGAGCCCTGTGACTGGGCTGTATCAGTG